CCCTAGCTGGAATTAAATGCCATTGTGTTTATATGGTTTGTTTGCTATAGGTCCTTGAGACACAGTGGTAAATGCATTAAGACTGCGGATTCCTGAGCCTATGTTTGCGGTGCTCTAGAAATCAAGCATCGGTGCAAAGCAACATCAGATCAGGTGTCAGTAATCTGGAGCTATTTTGTGCCTTCAGGTGAGAAAACAAAATTGGTTTGTGCACAACCATTAACAACTCTTTCGACAGTTAAGCAAGTGGTTTGGAAACGAGCAGTCGAGATTGGAAGAATTCAGCAACCCATCCACCCACCCACCCACACACACACACACACAGGGCCGCACACATGCATGCACCCACTGAAAAAAAGTCATTTGTTCTACCTCATTAGCATGTATTGTGGTGAGCGGGCGTAACACACTGAAAGGTGAAATGGGTCCGCCATGAATAGCACACCAGTCGGCAGAGGAGAGGGGAGGAAAAGGAGGGTGGAGGAGAATGGTGGGTGTGGAGGGCGGGGTGGGTTGTGGAGGCGGTGGGGGTGGGGGGGGGGGGGGGGGGGGGGGGGGGGGGGGGGGGGGGGGGGGGGGGGGGGGGGAGTGTCCCAGATTGGCTGGGGGACCTGCCGCACACACAGGGAGCCTCTTGCTCGCCTTTTTTTCCCCGCCCCTCTGCTGATTGCACCTTTTCGACTACACTCACTTTCACTCGCTCTCTTTTTGCAGTTCGCTTGCCTTTTTCTCACTTCCATCAACACACAGGCACACAAAGGCCAAGCCCATATGTAACCTCCCTTCCTCCAGAGTTGCTGCTCAGATGCAGCCGTCGTGCTCGCGCGTGCACGCGGACGCACACATCAAATATTCTCAGAGGTAATGTGTGTCCAGGAGGCAGAGAGCAGTTGAGTGCAGCCCAGTGGAGCGCCTGTTGTGGCCAACTGCACCTCTATACAAGCTGGTCGCCTTCTTTCCTTTTCTCCGCCTTCGTGTCTCTTTTAACCACCTCCTCCTGCATCCTCTACATCAATTTTCTGGCTTCCACCTTGTCATTCGACCTTTGTTTTTCTTCAGGCGTCTCTGTATTCCTTCTTTTCTCTTCTCCTCTCAAATGGGGTGACGCGTGTATGCCGATATACGCTTAATTAAAGATATACACTCGAGTTTGTTAGATAACACTAAGTGTTCACCTTAAAGTGTGACACATTTTGGAGAGATTTCACATATCCTCTCTCTTCAGTCTGATGACTGTGGTATGACTATGTTTGATGTGCAGCATTGAAACTGTTTCTGGCGAGTTACATCAGATTGCACTAAAGCTGAGGCCATCTTTGGTCGGTTTGCGAGAGGAAGAGAACTGACGTTTGCCCTGATGTTCCCTTTCCCTTTCTTTCTGTATTATGTAGCACTGCCAGAATATCTGTTCATTTATCTTCCCATCTGTGTGTGTCTGCGTATCAGTGTGCCAGTCTGTCACTGTCTCTTTCTCTCATCCTTCTCCTCTTGATTCTCCCCCCGCAGCCACCCCACCCTCTCTCTCCCCTTCTCTCCTCTACACTTTTGACTCTTTGCCTGTGTCTCTCTCAGACTATGTGTTCCCTCTGTGTCTGGTAGAGGATCACTAATAGTCTCCACTGGGGTGTAAACTGTGTGAGGTTCTGTGTATTCTGTTGCCTGTGCAGACACACACACACACACAGGCACTCCTCACATGGAGACAGCACACAAGCAGGGGTTAGTGTGCAGGGAAGACAGAAAAGGGTGTAGCAGAATGGAGGCAGAACTGTCTAGCTTATTGGTGATGGTGTACAAACATAACCATGCATTGCTCTCTGCGACTAGCTAACTCTGTTCTCTCACGCACATATCACCCTGTGCCATTAAACATGCTGACGCTGAGTGGCCAGAAGCTGTCCCGTGGGACTTTGCTTTGTATGTGTCTGTGAGAGAAAGAGATTATTTTCTGTGTGTCTCACTCCATCAACTCCGCCATTCAAGTGCACCTCATTGACTTATCATTGAGTTGGCCCTCCAAAGCCCCATTGAGTTTACCAAGTCTTCCACAAAAAAAGTCACTTCAGTTCCTTCCAATAGAACCCCTCATCACACACACATACACACACCCTTCACCCACAAAATGATATACACAGGATGGCTCCACCCCACACAAAACAGCTTTGACGCTCCATTGAAATCTCCTTAGCGAAACGGTTTCTCCTCATCAGTATTGTGTGACTATTCAGTGCGTTAATGCGCCCGTATTAAGAAAGCCTTTTATTTGCCTGTTTTGAATTTAAGCACATATATTAACCCATATATAGAGAATGAGTCCTTATTAGCTTGCGTGGGGGAGGTGTCAGGAGGTTGCAGGAGGACACAGAAAGAAGGCTATACAGTACAGTATATGCAAGCTTACTTAAAGCCACAGTATTGACTTGTTTAATTCTTGAATGAAATAAGCCCCTGATGCTCATTCACAGACACACTCACACACAGAGGGAGTAATTTAACTCAGCACGGTTTGTATCCCAGTTTGCGGTGCTGGTGCCACTGATGTATGTGTGTCTTTATTTTATTTGTATTTTTTTTTTTTTACAAAAGTGTTCAAATGGCAGGGGATGCCATTATAACAAACTGGTCAGATTATGGGTATTACAAACATAGACCAATGCAAACAACCATCAGTGTCTGTCTGCAGGGTTTTGCAAAGCTTTTGTTGCAGTCAGCTGGATTATGCGTTTTGGCAAGCCTCTCGACAAAGTAGTTGTTTGGTTGCCTACGTCGGCTGCTGTTGTTACCTGCTTTTGTTGCAGATGAGGCCGTGAAAGTGGGCCTGATTCCAGGCAGTTTTGGGCAGAGGAGAACAGATGATTTGAAAAGAGGCTTTAGCATCCTGCAACACATATGAGATGATTTCATTGATGCTTTAAGCCGGTAAAATCTCATCAGGTAAAAAATCTGATCATGTAGCCTGACTGGTATGGGCTGGTGATAGTTAGGATGAGATGTCTTCCTGTTACTACTGCCGAAGCTAATCAGTACGAGTTCTCTGGTTGCAGCAACTGGAAGTGGGATATGAAGTTAAGCTCCCAACGGTGTATTGAATAAACTCAAATGCATTCTATCAATTCCTGTCTCTGAAATGAAACTTGAGCTTAGAGAGAGAGACTGGGTTTGCTAGTGCTTTTAGGGGCCACGTGTCTCCGGAGAGCAGGAGCAGCTATTGCTTTTGTTTATACGCTCCCATACTCACATCTTCTCTCTTTCATCTCGTCTTTGTCTCTGTCCTAATATAATTCTTTTTCTCTCCTCCCTTACTGGCATTTTTAGCAGCTCACTGAGGGAACATTAGTGCTTGTTGTCTTGCACTAACATTAAGGCGCTTTGTCTCTGATCCTCCCTGTTGTGGGCACGCACACGTTCACGCTCAGGCGGCGTGGGACATAAATGTAGCTAAAAGGAGGATCGTGAAAATCTGCTGCCATTTTTGTCCCTTACACTCTTGAACCTGAGACACGGTTTACGAGGCTGCGTGAATGCGAGCGCCTCTGTTAGTTCGCATGTGTGCAGATGCCTGCAAGCTGACAGGGAGTGAAAGCCCAGACATATGTTAATCAGATGTTGCGATGATGGCAGAGCAGAAGGAGCGAGCGAGAGAGGGAGAAAGAGCACTGGAGGGAGGAATGAGGGGTAAAAAGAAAGGAAAGGCTCTTAAAGACAGAGTGAGAGAGGGGAGAGAAATGAGAGCCAGCTGAAGAAGAAGGATGCGGAGAGAAGATTTCAGGAGTAGTCTGGAGAAAATGACAGGAAGTGCTGCAGTGATTAATTTTCTTACTGCTAAACCACTGCTGAGAATCGATTAGTTTAACTGAAGGGGCCCACACAATAAGTTTGAGGTCACTAAACAAAAGTGATTAATGTTTCCTGTAGGCACATGAGATATACATACTAACACACACAGTGCACAAGGAGGTGTTTTTTGTTTCTTTAGATTTTTAGTATGACATTGCTGCCCAATTTAAACCCAGTAGCACCATTTAATTGTTTGCCTTAAGGATCAGACAAATGAAGCTTAATGAAGGGCTGAACATTCACTATTAAAGCTGCTGAAATCATTTCTTTGTATTAAAAACTTAAAAACTATATCTTCAAGTGAGCCTCCAGATATGCAGCTTCCCTTTGCACCATGGAAAGGCTGCTAACTGTTTGTTTCTACTCTCGTGAGCTGAAAACTTTATCAGTTTTAAATTTTATAAAATTCTGATAACTTCAGTTGCCAAAAGCAATAATTCAAAGCGATAAAATTAAAAGTAAAGGGGATAAGATAGAGTTTCAGTTTTATAGGTGGGATGAGTCTTATTTAACTGACAGCGCTGACACGAGTCAGTTGCTTTATTTTGTTTGAATTCAGAAGATTCTGCACACTACCCAGCTTGATGTCTGTTCTCAGATTTCATGAATCCAGTGTCCGCTGTTCATCCTAACAACAGGGCTCTAACACCTGGTTATGATTCAGCCGTAAGCACGAGCGTCGTCGGGAGCTCCGACAGCTGTTTTTGACATAGCTCATGTATTCTGTGATGACTTTTGGGTCATGAAGGCAACTCATGAGTTGACTCATTGGACACATTTTCAACTTTGTTTGTCCTTTGTTATGTTCATGGCTATCTATTATCATATCATTTATTTGCTGGAGGTCCGTCGTTCTCTTCAAATACTGTCAACTGTTGCTAATCACCAACTAACCCTGCTGATTTTCTCCTTTGTGTTTATAGCAGTTTTCAACCAATGTTTTGGTTGAAGTAATGCCACCATTTGAAATGTGTGTGCATGATCCAGGTATAAGGAATAATAGATAGATAGATAGATAGATAGATAGATAGATAGATAGATAGATAGATAGATAGATAGATAGATAGATAGATAGATAGATAGATAGATAGATA